TGAGATTCATGAACAAATTATATAAGATTCTTATATGATCATGTTCATTTAATCTTCTTGTCTTGATTGATCACACACACTCTTTTAAGATTTGACATAAAAACTTACAAGAATTTTCAACAAGGTTAGCAAACAATCATAGCTGAATAACCGGTAGTCAAGAAAAGTCACTCTACAGGTTTCTAAGTCTGAAGTGGACGATAATTCATAAGTCAAAGAATCAACTATAATTGATGAGTAACTCACCTTAACAGACTCCAAGCATGCTAAAAAGCTTTGAATATTCTCTTTGAAATCAATAATTATAAGGTTTAATCGTTATATTGAATGGAACTAATTACAATATTCGTGGTCAGGAGTGTCGAATGTGTCTGATGTTAATTTTAAATTTACAAAGGTCGAAAATCGAGACAATAACAAGCATAATTAAACAACATATAAGAACAGAAAATTAAAAATCTTAGGCATATACATATATAAACTTTGATGATTAAGAACATACAGTTGGCATTCTACTTTTTGAAATAAGTGTGAGGCATAAGTGTGATGCAATCCTTCAATATCAAAGCACAGATAAAGTCCATTTTATTGTGTATATATATATATATATATATATATATATATATGCCTCTTTGGAAATCAAACGTCTATTTAAAGAAACTTTGACTTCTGTGTCAAACATTTTAATATTTTCCCAATCGAATTCGCGGTTGAAATTTAATCTATGTAATTACTGATTAGTTTTATGTATTCCAGTTAATGTGATTTCAATGTTCGAGTATTCTAATACTACTTTCCTGTCTGTCTGTTTTACATAGGACACATCACAATCCCTACAATAAATCTTATAAACTACATTTTTATTTGCGTTTTTTGGCAGCTTATCTTTATACCCTGATAAATTTATTGAGTTTGTTATTACTGTAGTTAGATTTGTAGTAAGTTTCAAATTTTCTTTCCAAGACAAATCGTCTTGAATTTATATTCAGTTTGATGAAGTATACAGTATTAAGTATACAGTATTAAAAACCATGATTCTCGCTCATTATACTTCCTTAGTATTATTATTACTATTCTTCCCTTCTAACAAAGCACGTTTGAGAAACAAAAATTTAAGTCGAGTGTTGATGATATTAAAAATAAAATCTGCAGAAGAGTCGCTTTTTAACAGAATATGAATTACAACCTAATATTTTTGTCAACATTTTTGTTGAAATGTTCAATATTTCGAAATTATAAAGAAGATATCAGAAAAAATTGGAGTTACGTCATCATTTAATATTGCGCATCTTCTCTTGTGCTGACCCTTATTAATCTTGAATCGATTATTATTGTTATTATTGTTATTGTTATTTTAAATGTTATTAAAAAAAGATTTATTTTGATTATTTTTTCATATTAGATGTAATAATCTTCTGAAAGTCCTGGAGCAAAATCTAAAGATCTATAGATTCGTATTCATGATAACTTTTTAATCAGCTTGACATGAGCTAAAAAATATAAAAATTTGAAGCAATGTGACCGAAACCTATTTTCCATAAAATTTGTGCAAAATTCTTTGTATTTACTTAAAATTATGAAATCAAGATGCTTTTAATGCTTTCAATGGAAAAAATAATTAAAAAAAAGTTAAGAAATTTTAAAAGGTAATATTAGGAATAATAAATACATTTAAAAACTTTTACCTTAAAATAAAAGATGTTAATAAGTACTGATGTAATTGCAGTGATCATTAGAATGAAATTTGTCCCGAGGTACATGATTATTCCCATTTTCACATTGTATACTTTAGTATTATATAGCACAGTAATAAAGTAGGAGTAGTATGGGTAGTAAACGGAGTACATTGAAATGCTCCATATGGCCAAGATATACAAGTACGACAGATACGGCCTAGGATATCCAAGAGGACATTCGAACAAACCCAAACCGTAGAACGAACTCATGATAAATAATGGTGCCAGTTCTATTTGTAGTGTTTCTGTCATAGTTTTCAAGTTATCGGCAGGTAATTTGAATTGGTTCTTGCTGCACGAGACACAAACGTGTATTAATACCTTTATAAGAATTTCAGCAATTGTATACAAACTAGTTCTTGTAGAACTATAGTTCTTGTAGATCATCTAGAAATTTTGTGAGAATTATTCTAAGGTGCTTATATTAGAGGATGAACTATATATACATCAACTAATAAGTACTTAGTGATATAATAAACACATATGATCTAGGTTAGCTTGCTTATTCAGAATTTATTTATACATGTATTATTACAAAGCATAAACTACTATAAATGTAATATTTCTGCAATATCTCTTTGTACTAGGTTTCGAAGTATTTATTGGATGCTTTTATTTATGACACTTTTAGTGACGTGTCGACTTGAGTTGAAGCTAATAACATTGATAATGTGTTTTATGTAGTATATGGAAGTTAATATGCTTTTTTGTAAATTAAAAATACGTAAAATTATTCTTATAATAATAATATAAATTTA